CCATTATTCACTGGTATAAGAGCAGTTGTGGATAAGACTACCTATCAATATTATACAAAAAATGAAACTGTCGATATTTTGCTTTAAGAAATCCGAAACATGTTTCCAATAAAAATGTAAATAGGATATTAACATATATAACAAAGAATCAATAAAGATGTCATTAAATTTTATCCGTTGGCATAAGCGGAGTTGCGAATAAGAGATGAGTATCCCAAAGCGTAACAGACGGAAGGACAGGCGTATGGACGGACGTACAGACACTATAAAATATCAATTATAGCAAATTTAACAAAACTATATATTAATACATGTAAACAGATTATAAAATACATGTAGAACGAAGTATTTAATGCTAAATTCATTAAAAATGCGATACGCATTGTCTTACATGTAAATTAGACAGTAAAGAGACCTATATAATAGTATATAATTTACAGTTATCACAAAATGCATTCTACAAACTTTAACAGGGTCAAAGACGGGTCAACATCCGCCCAACGAAAAACGATAACTAAAAAGCCTGTTTTTACTTATATTTATTTCTATGATTTTTTTCTCAATAGAATCAAGATTGATTTATTGATTGAATAGTGCTTAGCGTCTCACTTGAGAATTTTTCACTCATAAAGAGACGTTACCGTTTGCCGCGCAGCACTGTTAAGGCTAGAAAAAGGGGGCAGGGCCTAATTTATACGGGAAAAGTAAACTGTGACGTCACACCAAAAATATGACTTTTATGCATTCCTCATATTACCCGAAAATGAAATAATTTGCAACTTAAAACTGTATTAGCATAATAAACAACAATAAAACTTATCAATGCATTAACAAAAATCGCTAGTTAAATCCCCTACAGCTGGTTTTAAACAAATCACTGATCTCGATGAACTTGTCAATCATGACGTCATTTTGGCAAAAATGACGTATTTCAGTGCTGTGAGAGGCAGATTTGGGAATTTTTTAACAATGAAAGATGCGTTTTATTATAAAACAGAATATTATTTACAGGTTTTTAATAGGCTAATTATACCAATGTTGTCATTTGTTTAGTGCGATTATTCATTAACTTTCGAGAGAATGTATTTAGATAATTCTGTCGTGTTTTTATGCTCAAGTTATGTATATTTTACATGAGGTGCCTCATTAAATCGCTCTTTCGTAAGGGCATACACTTAATAAATCTTGGCCGTTTTTTGAATATAGATAGAGGATATGTTCCTTAACTTGAAAAGTGCTGCTGCTTTCTTCAAATCGAGAGTATGACTTTATAAGTACACAAAATATTTGGTAAAAGTCAAACATATTTCGACACTGGCCTGTTTACATGAAAATTTAACTATTAAAACCAGGATTCTATTCAAAGCAGCAGCACTTTCCAGAAAGTACAAAATATGCAGAAACAATTAATAGCTTGAATTTTTAATTTCAACTAGGGTATGCCCTTGCGATATTGAAATTTGTTATTGACCTACATTCTGTGCACCTACTATGCATTCACCACGTGCCTGTCCATCGATGGGACTAAACTCCATACAGTACAGAGTAGGTTGTACTATGCTATTTCCATAAGTATTAAAGTTCTGTGATAATAGAACAGCTGAATAAAAATAAATTCAGTTTTAAAAACAATGCCCGATTTTGCACTTCAGTTTTCCGTTGATTTCTCGTAGTAAGCCTTAACAGTGCTGCGCGGTGAAGGGCTTCAAATCTAGACCTATACTCTCACTCAGGGCCATTGAGCAGTGGGGGCTCTTTATGCTTACCGCGACATGAGACGTACATTTCAAGATCATATCCGAAAGACCTGTGACTTCTACTTCTATTGCCCAGCGCTTGGGGAAGGAACAGTCAATATCAATGTTTACGTCTTAGGTTTGACGCGGCGCTGCGCTCGAGAATCGAACCCAGGCCTCCCGATCACAAAGCGAGTGCTCTGCCACTAGGCTACCGTGACCGGTTGGAAACAAAGAAAAACGATTAACAGTTTCAGGTTTCTATTAATTTGTTTTGCTTATCTTGTCTTAATGTAAAAAGGTTCATTTCTGTGCAGTTTTTGTGGCATACATATTCATTGCGGAGGATAACCACTTGAAAACATTCTTGAAATAAATTGGAATGGCTTCTGAGCAAAACAGAGAAAGGCCTAATATAAATAAATGTCAATAACAATTTACGATGTCTGATTCAAAATGGTGCATTTCATAAAAAAAAATGTTTCTTTTCTTTGATTAAATTACATAAGGTACAGAAATAGTGTGTTTAAACGAGAGCATTTTCAAGTAATGGTGCAAAAGTTTCTGAATTTCTCTTGAGCACTTAAACATTTTAAAGTTCTCCGCAATAAATATGATAATGCAGGCATAGAAATCAAATTGACAAATCACGATTTCACCAGATGACACTTGAATTTGAATATGGTGTCATTTAAATACACAGGAAATATTTCTACATTTTATTGTAGCGACCTTATCTGGCTGTATTTTTATTTAAGTCAATTGCAATAAATTGATAAGATTTAATGAAATTGTACGATTGTTGTTTTTGAGGTCAAATATCAAATTACAAAGTTAAAAGCATGATTTACACAAAATGCAAACAATCTAAATTTGAGATAATGCATATCAATTTAAAATTTTCTCTGAAATCAGAACTCTGTTTAAACACTCTGGTGAATATATGTATCTTTAACTTTATTCCTTTAGGCTAGCTGCATTTGGATGGAAGCACATCTTCTTGAAATAGAGACTGAGGCTGAACAAAACTTGATTCAAAACAAAGGTAAGTTTTTGTGTTTTCTTTCCGTAATTTGAGGAGTTTTTCGTGTTTTCTTTCTGTAATTTAAGGACTGAAAAATAGTCCAATAATGTATTTTACGACAAAATGTAGAAGGGTTATCATAAATATTTTTCTAATTATAAATCTACGCTCATTTTGACACAAAAGTGAAAAGGTAGTGTGATTCTTTGGAAATTCAACATAGCATGGACGTATATATGTCGATGTCATCTAATTATATATAGCAGGCAATTTAAACATTGGTCGGACTGAGTACATTTTGAATTAGTCAATTTGAGTATTCTTAAATCAGGTAATATAAACTAAATAATTATAAATTTATTAGAGAAAGAAGATAAAGAAAAATGGTAAATGAAAATTCACATGTCTTGAGTACAGTGTACCAACTTAAATTGGCTGATGATGTACTTCATTCGATGGACTTTTTGCGCCCAGTGGTAGACTATTGGGAGCCTGGGAATACCTTGAGAATTATAATTTTTTCACACAATATATATTGTATATTTTGCAGAATATTTTTTCTGTATTTCGGAATGTTTTGGCAGTGGATTTGCTCTATTTCATAACGTACATTTTTGATTCTTGGTCTCATTTAAGAAACCAACAGATCCAGGATTAGGGGAAAACAGTAACCGAATGAATGTATACATTTTTAATACGTTAAAAAAATATGCGCTGGACTACTAGTAGTATTAAAAATTTCAAAAAATACCTTTGTTCAACCATTTCCTAAATGTATATTCAATTATTTTCTGAATATTAACATATTTTACTATTTTCTTTATTTCTCAACAAATCACACACATGTTTAACTCCATCTATTATAAAATTTTAGCCTCCGGGGATAGATGGTGGATGGGAGGAACAGATGAAGAGTCCGAGGGCACGTTCATCTGGGTACATTCTAACACAACATTAAATTACACAAACTGGCTGCAAGGTGAACCTAATAACGAGGGTACAGGTGAAAATTGCGTCGAAATGCTTCCTGAAGGTGTTTGGATTGACAGCCATTGTGACTCTTCTTCTTTCTATATTTGTGAAAAAAAAAAGATTAAATAATAAGAGTTTTTTTTTCAATGAATGTTATGCATGTACGTATATAACTAAGAAGCATTAAATAGCATTTCTGATTTAAGGAAGATGTTTTATTTCTAAAGAACATACCTGATATCATCTTTATCATACTTTTTTAATTAAAAAGAGATAATATTTTAGATCATGAGACAAAAGAAAATCCTATTTTTTCTAATGAAGTCTGATTTTTTATGTACATGAACGAGGATTGTTTGAAAAATCCGCAGACTTTTTAAAATGAGCAAAATATTGATGATGTGTGAAACTTCATGCCATGTGTTTATGTTAAAAAGTTGTATAGTATACTTTTAAATTTACACGTTTTGTAACCTTGAAACAAACTCAACATCATTGAAATATATTCCATCATGAGGTTCTCAAAAATACTCTCCCTATATATTTTACGCGGCATAGCCCGAAAAAAGTTCCCCAATTAAAACACGCAGCACTGTTAATGCTTACTATGAGAAATCAACGGAAAACAGAAGTGCAAAAACGGGAATTGTTTTTAAAACTGAATTTATTTTTATTCAGCTGTTTTATTTTCACAGAACCTAAATACTTCTGGCAATAGCATAGTATTACCTACTCTGTACTGTTTGGAGTTTGTTCCCATTGATGGACAGTCACGTGATGAATGCATAGTTCGTGTACTGAATGTAGGTCATGAACAAATTTCAATATCGCAAGGGCATACCTTAGTTGAAATTAAAAATTCAAGCTATTAATTGTTCCTGCATACTTTGTTCTTTCTGGAAAGTACTGCTGCTTTGAATTAAATCCACGTTTTAATAGTTAAAATTTCAAGTAAATAAACCAATGTCGAAATAGGTTTGACTTTTACCAAATATTTTGTGTACTTACATGTATAAAGTCATGCTCTCGATTTAAAGAAAGCAGCAAAACTTTTCAAGTTTAAGAACATATCCTCTATTTATATTCAAAAAAATGGTCAAGATTTATTTAGTGTATGCCCTTGCGAAAGAGCGATTTAATGAGGTACCTCGATGTAAAATATACCTAACCTGAACATAAAAACACTACAGAATTATTCAAATACATTCTTTTGATAGTTAATGAATAATTGCACTAAACAAAGGATATGCATTGGTATTATTAGCCTATTAAAAACCTGTAAATAATATTCTGTTTTATAATAATTTAATTTTACTTGTAACACACCATTTGATTGGATAAAAGATTTTATCCATTTTGTATAACAAAACTTGCCTACGTCACAATGAGTTACGTCAAAAAACCATTGTGTAACCATGCTTTCACCGGATCAGCAACTGTGAAGCTCTTAGCATAGAATTACCTAACTTTGAAATCTTTTTTATTAAATTTTAACAGATAGTCTGTTTTCGAACAGAACACCATTGTCTTTTACAGTCTCTATCGTTTAGATTCTACCTTTTCCATGACAAGCAAGGTTCGTTTTTGACATATTTCTTACTTAATCCTCTTTAGCATTTTTTAATTTTCTGGAAATTTCAGAGTACACATAACTGTATCGTTAACTGTTAATCTAGGAGGTTGTTCACCTTCATCTTTGGATAAAGACTTTTCAATTAAGGAATGTTTTTAAGTTCTGTGTGTATCATTATTGTGTGAATCACACAGACTTGTCACGTTGGCATATATGCCTACGTGCAATTTTATGTGATTCTCACACCAATAATACACACAAAACTTAAAAGCATTCCTTATATTTACATTTTGCATGTTTGAAAGCAACTAAAATATACTCAATATTTGAACTTCTCCCTGCCATATATTGTTGCATTTTTACTAACGTCGCTGCAGTCTCATTTTTGACGTCACGTTAACGTACGTTTCTCCGTGTATATTTCTACGCGTGAGTATACACGAAAATGGTTTTCAAATCAATTTCACAGTTGGCTTAGTAAAAAAACATAGCGAATGTAAATATTGAAGGATACATACCGAAGTATCATCACGGATATTTTTGTAAACCAAGCAAAATAATAAATCATTATTTGAAATATGAAACCCTGTAACAATTCTTAATTTGAACAGTTAGGAACTGTTAGGATATTTTCCGTTTTAGTGCCATTTTATAGAAGATATGAAATCAGACATTTTTTGGTGTTTCCGTTGTAAATTATGAAATTTTGACCTGTACATGATCCCTGTTTTTTCGTGAAAGCGATCCAGCAAAGTCCAAGTGTACTATTTCCATCAAGCTTCCGGCTCGATAACTTTTCATTTCAAATTCATCAGGAAATGTACCCCTCTTATTTCTAGCTCATACGTCACAGGACAACTTTGCGTTTTCTACCATCCGCCATCCGAGTCAGTAGCTTCTCGTCGAATAATACCTGTTAAATTCATGTAAAAACAGTCTATTTCCTGAAGATAGCATTTCTGTTACGGACTACATGTACAAATTACCGTGTCATTTTCGGTAGTTAAACCAAAAAAATTATAAGTTATGCCTCAGGTTATGCTTCAGGTAAGTTAGGACTTTATCTAATTTTGGATTATTAGCCAAATCTATAGAACTGTATTATGATATCAAAATTCCTGTAAGAACTGTATTATGATATCAAAATTTCTGCAGTTTCACTTGGGGTACCTGAAATTACCTTGGATTAACTTCCTCAATCTTGGAATCTAAGACTGATATTCCATTGACAGCGATTATAAAAAACTAGAATGTTCAGGAGCACCTGTTGAGAGGGATTGTATCTTCCCAAGAACTGGTAACAATACCCTGACCGAGATTTTGATCTAACATCTCTCAATTACCCCGCTCAGAGGACTCGAGACAAACTCTCTGCTTGCACAGACGATTTATTGAAGAGCTATTATGGATAATGGTATTACGTCGTCTATCTTGATATTGAAATCATTCAAGCGCTTATAATTGTCGGCAAAATATGTATCATACTATGATGTTCTTTCCTCACACTCAACTCTGTAATCAGTAGGTAATGTTGAAAATCTCTGGTGAATTCGACTACCGTCAATAACTCCTTTCTACTACTGAAATACATGTATCGGCTTAGTTCTCCTGACAAAAGGGCCCTACCATACCCTATTGTTGTTTCTTTTCCGTCCTTGATGTGGCTACGTTCCCTACCGACATGATCAGAGGAGTCAGTATCCAGGATCTAATGTGCATAACTAATTGGTAGTGCTAGTACTGGGGGTCTGGACATTAACTGGATGAGTCCCACAAAGACACTCGGTTGCTCTTTGCCCAACCAGAAACCACTCTTTAATGTTATCGAAATGATTTAGCTCTAGGGAAAAAATTGGATGATAATTGGTGAAGCCAAGAAAACGCTCCACGACCTTAGCATAACACGGAAAAGGCCCATATCAAACTCCGTTCTCGCTCACGGTTCTACCAAGGATATCATACTTAGTCCTAAACAATTCGCATTTCTGAGGCTTTAGAAAGACAAAAACAAGTCACAATTGGAGTATTTCTAATAATAAAAGGAAACTATTTTTATTAAATAATTTAGCTGTAGTTTAATTTGAAAAGTTTATAACATCAGGAAAGAGTGTTAATTTTAAGTCTTAGTTAAAATTCATTTTATACTGGAACAACTTCCACCAGGAAAGCGTTACACAAACTTGGTGTAACAATAACTACTTCTCAATTTGCATTTGACTGCAATACAACACTACTAAGATAAAATACAAACCTTCATGTGAAGGATGCTGCTAAAAATGTCAATCCTTGAATTCATTTTTCTTCTTACGCTTCTTCAAACCAGCTCTGGGCAGTATGGTATAAATTTTAATCTTCAACATTCTAATGAATATAACATTTAATTTACCCTAGTAGACCTTTGTTCTACTGCAGTAAATACAACAAGAGGCCCATGGGCCACATCACTCACCTGAATAACTTTGAAGATGCAGTTCTTTACCAGATTTCCCCTCTTCTTATATCTATTGTGCCCCTCAACCACCACCACCCCAGTCCTAATTTTAATAATTTAGAATATTCACTACCACAGGATGCTTTCACCTAAGTTTCAGCTTTCCTGGCACAGCGAATCTTGAGAAGATTTTTTTCTATATATTTCTATATAAAACATGGTTTCCCTTTAGTGAACCCACCCTCCCCCGGAGATCATGATTTTAACATATTAGAATCTACACTACACTACACTACACAAAAGTTTTAGCTTTAATGTCACACTATTTTTGAGATTTAAAAAAAAAAAATTCCTAAAAATTTCTATGTGAAATTTGGATTCCCTATTGTGACCCCTTCCTACCCCCGGTGGTCATGATTTTAACAATTCAGAATCTACATTACCAAAGGATGCTTTCACATAAGTTTCAGCTTTCCTGGCCATCTGGTTCTTGAGAAGAATATTTTTTGTTGTTCAAACCTTGTTTGTCTTTTCTTGATTATCTCCCCTTAGAAGAAGACATAGCCCTTTATTAACACTTCCCATTACCCAAGGATGTTGTGTACTTAGTTTGGTTAAATTTGGCCAAGTGGTCATTAAGAAGAAGTTGAAAATGTGAAAAGTTTACAGACGGACGGTCCGCACGGACGGACAGACAGGTGAGCTGAAAACTAACAAAGTAACTTTTTGTGTTAGTTCATTTTTTTATATTAGATAAATGATTTAAATAAAATATCATGTGCAATTTCTTTTATTTGCTACACTGTCATAAAAGAGACATGCAGATGGTTGTGCTTAATATTTTTAAGAAAGGAATTTAGACGTTGAGCGGGCATGAATATTTCGTTTTAAGTAGACAAGACATTTACTAACTGAATAATTCTTGTGAAGTCATTATTTAAAAAAGCAAATTTTCCACTTTCGTGGGGGTCTTTTTAATATGCATTTAAATGCCAAGAAATTTATGTCCTAATCAAACTTATTATTTAGGGAAGGTTTCATCCACTCTTAAAGCTGAACACCTCTCATAAATAGGCACCGCCAGACGGGTTTATATAAACCCTTCGATTTCGTTACACCCAATTGCACACTCGAAACTCGTGGTCGACATGTAATATTCCTTTGATGGTATTAGATTTTTTTGCGTTTATTCCCGGGTTTA